GCCGTCGAAATTACAATCGAATCGTTTTTAGCCGTTGGTATATTACGAGGGATTTTCATAAATTCTACATGCTTTTCCTGTATTGGAAGTGACTATTGGCCAGCAAGCAGAGATGTAAGTACACACATATGTATGTAAATTCCCGACAGGAGAGTTGGATGACAGAGGCTGCCAAGAAGGCTAGGGCTACTCGTAGAAAAGAAATTCAGCTGAGTAGGACTTGTTTGAATAAGATGAAGGTCTACTATACATGAAACTGTACTTTCTGAACTGGCTGACATGATATCTCAAGTTTTAGTTGACTAATTGACTCCAAAGTTTGCACACGTGTTAAGTAGATGTGCCGCTATCACAGGAACCACGAAAATCAAACAATTCCTATTTTTTCCTATTTTTATAACCCACAAAACAAGTGGCAAAAATTCAAATTTCAAAGTACCCCTATTCTTTCAACTTTCGTTCTAGTCAAGAATCTTTTTGGCATTCTCGTTTCGGATAAGTAGAATAGCCGGAATCATGTCAGCCAGTGGGACACTATTTTTAACAGGACTGTACTAAACAACTTATCATTCAGTCAATCTTTATTATTTTCATTTAAAAAAAATGGCGAATATTCTTCAAAAAATGAAAAATTCGTTATTCTATCGATCTTGACTATAAAATGTTGGACATTCTGTTCGAAAAAATAAAACTGACCTCCACCTGTGAAGAAACTACTGCCACCGTGTTATGTTTACCTTGAAATCATACAACTTTTCTAAGTAATATTTTCATTTATTATTTGAAATAATAGAAATGTTTGAGGTGAATAGAATTGGTGGGACACTCTGTATATTTAAAACTATGCAAATGAGAGGAAAATTTTTCGGATAGAAATTGTTCAGTGTGGAGAGAGTCAGGTTTTTTTATCAGTTATTTCGTTACTTCTATCCTATACTTGATTTAGATAACAAAAATTGCAATGATGATAGACTAACTTACCATTCCATGGCAAAGACTGACGGCGACGGAGGATTGTGGATCGCCGTGTACGGTTCCACTGTAGAAACAGCCAAGTTGATTGCCCGGATGCTCCCTTCTGATCGAATCCTCACTTATATGAGTAATCTACGCAGACAATAAAAAAAACCATGGTATGTACACACATAATAATATCTCAAATGATACTGAAGACAATAAAACGATAATTACATGTTTATGATCGATAAAATTCTTGGAAGAATTTTTTCAGTATTTGTAGATACAAACCAATCATCAAGTAGCGTATATAATAGAATTCCACGAATCTGAACGCTGATTGTAGAAAAGATGGCCTAAATATGGGCTAGCACTTTTATATCAGGATTTTTATTTTTTATTTCATCTTTTATTCAGTTTACAGATTACCAGTTCTCACTCATTTTTCTAATTTTCTTACTATTTTACTTATTTTCTTTTAGACTCTTTCCTCCTTCTGTATTACCTTTTCTTTTCATTTCTCTTCTTTCATTCTATTTTTCTTCAATTTTCTTTTTTTATTTTAGGTGATTTGCCGCCACGATTTTTTGACGTTATTCAATCGCGATAGTAACATTCGTAAAGCATTTACTGTGGAACATTTCTTCAAAAACATAGCAATAAAATACGGTTGTGCTCGAATGTTTAACGACCAGCCATTCCATATTATCGATAAATAATTCAACAACGAGGATATTATACTCGAAGCAGCTTTTAACGCCTCTATCGTCTATCGTGGCGCACGGAAGGATCATTATGCAAGCTTCAGCGTGGAAGCATCGACGATAATATCTCGTGCATTAGCATAGTAATAACGCTGAAGAGAGACAAGATCATTTTTCTGATAATCGTAACAGCATTAGCAGCAATAAAACCGTATCAGACGATCAACCGTAGCGAGGAGATTGAATTACCACCTCCATAGTGGCGATTCAATAAATTAACTCATAAAGCGAGTCGTAAATCGATTGAAAACGACGAAGATGATACTTACCTTAACATTCGGCGACACAAAGTTGATGTCGAGCGTAAGAATCAAATGAAACCGTTTGCCAAAAGCGGTGAACTCGTACTGGGGATGAAGATCCCAATTTGGAGCCATGGAATGGCGGAAGTGGCCGCTATGGTGCTTTCCCGCTGACGAAGGTTCATCAGCTGTGAACAAGTAAATACAGCTGCTTTAGAATATTAGGGAATTTTGTTGAATTTTTTTGTTTACTTTAAATCACTACGTTTTATGTTTTCTTTGTTAATTTATGGCACTTATTCTATTTGCATTTTTACTCTACAATATTATTTTAATAATAACCCAGAATCTTCATACACTTCTTTTTTCTAAATGTACACTGACATTCAGTTTGAAGCATTATTAATAAACTTCTAACACTTGAGTGCAAGAATGCTCGATTATACGGTCAGATAATAATCTAGAATCTACAGGGCATCGATTGTACAATAAACAATCCGAATGATCATTCCACCGATAACAAACTCCTCGCTATGTGCACTTGAATTGCTAAGCCGATTCAGCACTTAATTGTCTTATCTTTTGAAATCGAGTGGCGCCCGCCACTGCACGATCTATAGTACAGGGTGTCTGTTTTATCTCAATACAGCGAAATATCTTTTAAGGAAATGATGTTAGGGAAAGTTGTTTGGTATGGAGGGGGACATTATGTGGTACAAATATTTTTTTGTACCGGGTATGGTGGGGGAGATTTCAAAGTCAGTTTCATTTTTTTAAATGGAATGCTATATTTTTTTATACATAATACGATAGTATATGTTACGAGTCCAACGAGGTGCGAACAAAGTCATTTAAAAAACATATAAAAATCACTTCTTTATACTTTATCTTTCGTATTCCGCAACACTGATTTTTCTTCATAGAGAGTGATTAATTCGGTGATTTCATTTCTCCACTAATTCTTCTTCCCGACATTTTTTACTCGCACGAGAGTTCTGTCAAGAATACGAAACTGCTTGGTGTTTGCAAAGCAACTGTTTATTCGAGTCGTAAATCTCAGAGAGTTGAGCGATGCTCTCAAACAGTCACTTTCAGACGCGAGAGATACTCTCGAGAGCAACTCGCGATAGTTTTACTCTGAGTACATAAAATAGTGCTCCCGGTATTTCAGTTCTACCGAGCGTATGACTCGCGGTGCACGGTACTGTGACATTTTATGGAACAGTATAGGGAATAATATAAAAAATGGATTGGAAATTGTGAGTAAAAATTTGAATTAAAGAGACACGATATAATTTCAAAAATTCAGGTCAACTGAGTGGAGTAAGAAAGAAGTAAATAATCATACTAAATTCGAAAAAATTGAGTAAGTAGGATGAAAAATGTATGATTATTTATGAAGTTTAAGAAAACACTATATAATTTCAAAAATTTGGAGAAACTGTAACTCCTTCAATGCGGAATTCGAGTAAGAAAGAAGTAAACAATCATACTAAATTCGAAGACATAAATTAGAGAAAATTTTAGACAGAAATTATTTCATGGTATTATAACAAATAAATGTTAAACAAACTTCTGACGCGTATAAAACATTATTTAACATAATAATTACCTTCGCTAAGGTTACTTTCAATCGATGACCATTGGTCAGTCTAATTTTTAATCCTTACGAAATTAATTTAATCAGAAGTAAGTAATGAGAACATGGAAACATAGTTTTCTATTGAACAAAGTTGTAGAAACGTATAAATTATTATTTGTACTGTTACAATAAATTCTTGGAACTATAAATTTATAATAAAAATTGTGACCAGAATTGGGGAGAAGCATAAGTTAAACGCGTAAAAATATTCAATAGTAAGCGAACTAGGGATGAAGCTATTATTTCAATACACGATGCAACGACTCTAGTATTTACTAAAATTCAAAAATTCTCGTATAAATTCCGAAAATAGATTATTAATTACGGTAAACTACTGAGACGGTTTAATTTAGGGTGGGCATAGTGCACTCGTTCCAAATCATCTCACAATATACAATAATAAATCAACTAACTACTTAACATACAATTCATGCAAATTCGTTGGATGGTAAATTATTAGTAAACAAAATAGCAAGTCATAAAATAAATTCAATATCAGAGAAAATATATGAAAAATACTGAAAGAAAAATTTCAAATCAATTTCAATTGCTGTAACGAAAAAGCAACCTCTCAAAGTCATTTCAATATCCTATTCGACAAGTCTGAAGAACAACGATGACTAAAATTCAAATGTTTATTTCCCTAAACCTTCAAAATAATTTCGAAATATTTTATTCGAAGCGGAGTATTCCAAGTCAGTATCGATAATTGAAGAAATTATTTGATTGTATTTAAAAGAACCGAAAGGAGAATATTTAAAGTCTGATATTAAATGTCTAGCAAGTACCAGTAATTGGTAAAATGATTTATATTTGTTTTAAAAGGAAAATTTCTAATAGGTATTAGTTAAAATGAATTGTTATTCAGTCTACTGTATTGAAATTCTAATTGATTCTAATGTATACAAGTGTTACAAGAAGGCTGAGTGTGTACAGGGTGGACACTGACTCTAGTATTTACTAAAATTCAAAAATTCTCGTATAAATTCCGAAAATAGATTATTAATTACGGTAAACTACTGAGACGGTTTAATTAAGGGTGGGCATGGTGCTGCTTTAGTTTGAAATGATTTATAAACACATAATTAACAGAGGAAAAACCGTGAAACGGCAAAACGTCTACATTCTAATTGTTATAACATGTAAACAGAACTTTAAATTTAGTGTAAACAGAAAAAATATATAATACAATTTATTTCACGGTATTGCAACAAATAAACGTTGAATCAATATTTAATTCGTATAAAAACAATTATTTAACGTAATAATTTTACCTTCACTATGGCTATTTTTAATCTACGACCACAGGTCAACCTGATTTCTAATCCTTACGAACTTTAAATTCAGTCTAAACTGAGAAAATATATAATACAATTTATTTCACGGTATTGCAACAAACAAACGTTGAATAGATTCTTAATTCGTATAGAAACATTTATTTAAAATAATAATTTCACCTTCACTATGGCTATTTTAAATTTACGACCAAGGGTCAACCTGATTTTTAATCCTCCGAACTTGATTTCACAACGAGAAAGTAATAAGATCGTTGAAACGTACTTATTTGTCAAAGAAACTTGCAAAAATGTATAAATAATAATATGTAATGTTTTAACAAATTTTTGGAAGTATAAATTAATAATAAAATTGTGAAAATTAATAAATTATACGTTATTATAACATTAATAGAATTATGACTAAACCGAAGTTCGAAGTCGAGTATTTAAAGTCTGATATTACGTGCCTAGCGAGTGCCGGTAATTGTTAAAATTTGTTTAATAATTAGTAATAGAAATTCTAATTGATTCTAATGTATACAAGTGTTACAAGAAGGCTGAGTGTGTACAGGGTGGACATAGACTAGCTAGTAGCCCCCGACCACTCTATTCACATCTCAGAACCTTCAGGTCAAAATACGCCGCGAAGTGTCTAGGGCCCAGTATAAAGGGTAAATGATTTCGCGGGACATCGGCGGGTCCTTATATACCTGCGGTACCCTCTCCCCAAAGTCATTAGCAAAATCGTCGGTTAGGTCAGGCGGGAAATTTTCGCGGGAGATTTTCGCGGGAGATTTCCGATATCGTAACACGGTATAATTTATCAATTTTCACAATTTTATTAAAAATTTATACTTCCGACAATTTGTTATAACATTGCATATAACAATTTATACGTTTTTACAATATTCTTCAATGGAAACATAGGTTTTAGCGTTCTCGTTACTTACTCGTGGTTAAATTAATTTCGTAGGGATTAAAAATCAGGTTGACCTGTGGTCGTAGATTAAAAATAACCATAGTACAGCTAAATTTATCGTGTTAAATAATTCTTCTTACACGAATGAAAAATGTATTCAACGTTTGCTTGTTACAATACCATGAAATAAATCGTAGATTAAAAATAGTGATAGTACAGCTAAAATTATCGTGTTAAATAATTCTTTTCCTACGAATCAAAAATGTATTCAACGTTTGTTTGTTATAATATCGTGAAATGAATTATATTACACATTTTCTCTATTCACACTGAATTTAAAGATTATAACGATTAAAAATCAAGTTGACCTGTGGTCATTTATCAAGAATAATCATAATAAAGCTGAAATTATTGTGTTAAATAATTTTTTTAATACGAATTAGGAATTTATTCAACGTTTGCTTGTTACTACTTGTTACAGTATACTGTCTCGCAATGTAAATTTAAGTAAATTAGGTTGAACTGCACAGAAAATGCACAGAACTGCACAAATAATTTATTTCATGGTATTGTAACAAGCAAACGTTGAATACATTTTTCATTCGTGTAAGAAGAATTATTTAACACGATAAATTTAGCTGTACTATGGTTATTTTTAATCTACGACCACAGGTCAACCTGATTTTTAATCCCTACGAAATTAATTTAACCACGAGTAAGTAACGAGAACGCTAAAACCTATGTTTCCATTGAAGAATATTGTAAAAACGTATAAATTGTTATATGCAATGTTATAACAAATTGTCGGAAGTATAAATTTTTAATAAAATTGTGAAAATTGATAAATTATACCGTGTTACGATATCGGAAATCTCCCGCGAAAATCTCCCGCGAAAATTTCCCGCCTGACCTAACCGACGATTTTGCTAATGACTTTGGGGAGAGGGTACCGCAGGTATATAAGGACCCGCCGATGTCCCGCGAAATCATTTACCCTTTATACTGGGCCCTAGACACTTCGCGGCGTATTTTGACCTGAAGGTTCTGAGATGTGAATAGAGTGGTCGGGGGCTACTAGCTAGTCTATGTCCACCCTGTACACACTCAGCCTTCTTGTAACACTTGTATACATTAGAATCAATTAGAATTTCTATTACTAATTATTAAACAAATTTTAACAATTACCGGCACTCGCTAGGCACGTAATATCAGACTTTAAATACTCGACTTCGAACTTCGGTTTAGTCATAATTCTATTAATGTTATAATAACGTATAATTTATTAATTTTCACAATTTTATTATTAATTTATACTTCCAAAAATTTGTTAAAACATTACATATTATTATT